TTCTTCATGAGCTCTGTCACTTGCTGCAGATATTTATACCTGTGAGGTCTATACACTGAACTCCTTGTAATCAAGAACCTTCCTCGTCTCAGTGATCTTCTGCTCTGAATTGGTGTTCAGTATGTGACTCATGCGTCTTGTTTCTGTTTTAGGTAGTGTTTTCTGTTTTTATTGCTTCTTGTTTTTCTTTCCACTATGTGATACTTTTTTTGTTTTAGATGTATCCACTGACAAATTTGGGGAATTTGTACTTTCATTTTGCCTTCATCTTAGAGCTATAATGTCACATAAGACATCAAAAACCTCCGTTCCTTTCTGGATGATCTTTTTAAATTTTTTAAATTTAAATTTTTTTTTTTTTTGGTACCGGGGATCAAACTCAGGTCCTTGCGCTTGCACAGCAGGCACCAAAACCACTGAGCTAAATCCCCAGTCCCCTAAATTTTAATTTTATTAGTACATGTTTGTAGTTTATAACAATTACATTCATCATGGGAAGCTGGTACACATACATAACATCTTAATTCTTTTTTTTAATTCCCTTTCCCTCCTCTCCCTCCCTACTCCTTCCATCGCTCAGTCTCCTTCCCTTTTGCAAAAGACCTATCTCCCAGTTTCCTGTTATCTTTTATTTTGCTTTATAATTTATTTATATTTTGGATTTCTCATATAAGGGAAATCATGCTGTATTGAAACTTGTGTGTCTGATGTATTCCACTTAACGTTATGGTCTCCTGAGAGACCCATTTTCCTACAAATGACTCGAGTTGGACAATCCTTTTTAGACTCTGCTTTGGTCAATGTCAGGATCCCCATCTTTTCACTTCTCTACTCTTTCATCACCCAATTTCAATGGATTATATATGTATTTTAGTGCTGCCCCAGTTCCTTTACATGTTCAGAGATCTGTAATACTTCATACATTAGCTGTACATAAGTAATACGTTTAGGTCATATAAAATGGTAAAATTGGTCTATATACCTATATCGAAATTTTCAACTTCAGTTATATTTGATTATTGCACTTTTACATTTTATATTTTTACTCCAAAAACTTTTTAAGTTTTTCTTTCGATTTTAGTCCATTATTATAATGAACTTCCCACTTCCTGATTGTCCTGTTGCTAGATTTTCTTCATTGCATACTGCTTGACTAAAATTTGTCTTCAAGTAGTTTCTTAAAAGGCTGCTCAGAACCATATTTCCTTTGTCTTTGGATATTCAAAAATGTTATACTAACAGGTGTGGTGGTGCACCCGTGTAATATCAGCACGTGGGAGGCAGAGGCAAGAGGATTGCCATGAGTTCAAGGCCAGCCTGGGATACATAATGAGTTCAGGGCCACCTGAACTACATAGTAAGACCTGGTCTCAAAAAACAACCAAGCAAGTAAACAAAAAAATATTGTACTGTCCTTAAACCTGAATGACCACTTAAGAATGAAATCCTTGACTCACAGTTTATTTCCTTTTGAGGATTTTATAGGCAGCGCCCCACTTGATTCTCCACCCCCACCCCCAGCTTGTGGTATTAAATTTTGGTGTGGAGAAGTCTAACTCTATATAGATAGGGTGAGCACACATCTGTGTGTACCCAGGAGAGCCTGGTTTACACCTATTACTCTAGCTTCCTGCTGTTAGCACCTTTTTCACAAGCTCCCTGGATTAGATAATAAATCATATAACCAAACTTAGGATGGTTTCACTTTGCTGGTCTGGAAGCTCAAGGATTCTTTCTCTGTCACTCAGGTCTAGCAACTTTACTGGCTGTCCTGCCTCTCTCCCACCTGTCTCTCCAGATCTGCTTTCTACCCCCTCCCCACCTCCCTCACTAGGGCCTAGAAGCCTTACTTGTATGGGTTCTCTTGCATACGGGTTCCAGTTGGGTTTGGCCAATAGAAGGACTGACTAGAGATCAGAAAGAGGGGAAGAGTATGGTCAGGGACTTTATTCCACTGAGGGGTCCTACAGATTGTCTTCCTCTTCCCACTGCCCACAAGTAGCATCCTCACCCTGTTGTGACTTCAGCCTACATCTTTTCCTTGTGTCCTACCAAAACCTTTATAAAGAGTCCTTTAATGAACTCTCCTCAATTTATTTTGAGTATGCCATCTGTTTCCTATCAGGACCTGACCAGGATATGTCTCAGTAGGATTATTCTGTATCATTTTTTCCCTGGGGTAAAGTATCCTTCCAAATTGTAGATTAAAAATCTTATTTCTAGAAAACTTTCTTAAGTTATATCTTGAATTATTTTTGCTGTTTCATTATTTTGATTACCTTCATTGTGGTCTTCTGGCTCTTTGTTATGGTTTATATCTAGATGCTGCCTGCCCCAAGACTTGTGTGCTTACAGGCAGGGCTTTTGAAAGGTGACTGAATCATGGGAGCTCTATACCTAAATGTGCTGTTAGGAGGTGGGGCCTGGTTGGAAGAGGGAGGTCGCTGGGGGCCTGACCTGGAAGGGTATAGCTCCCTCTCCAGCTCCTCCTTTCATTCTCTGCCTCCTGGCTGCCAGATGTGAGCAGCTTTCCTCTGCCATGTGCCTCTGCCATGCTGATTCTGCCCTAGAGCTGGTGATCATGGACTGTAACTGTGAGCCAAATAAACCTCTTCTCCTTTAAACTGTAGTTGTTGAGTCTTCTGTCCTAGTCAGGAAACTAAGATACCGCCCTTGGACTGCCAGTCTGTCCTTTTCCTCTCTAGCCTTTAAAAATCTTTGTCAATTTCCATTTCATTTTGGTCATTTTTCTCAGCCTACTTTCTACATCCCTATTTGTATTTTCTGTGGCTCTTATTCTCCTTTATGTTGCCTCCAACTTGGTCTCCATTTTGGTGATGAAGGTGGTTTTCTTTTCACTTCTTTGTTGAGAACCATCTTGACCAGCCTTTTTCTGAGCTGTGTGGCACTGTCATCTATAACTCCACAAACTCCTGCTGTCTTTCCCTGCTCTTGTCAGCCCTTCCTCTGAAGCTAAGCTTTGGATTTTCTAGTGACTCTTGGTTGTATGATATTTGCATTTACTTCTTATTCTCATAGTTCCTTGGATAATTCCCAAAAGAAGAAATGATGAACACCCAGGCTAAATCCATCATTATTAAAACAAGAACTTCTCCAAAGTATATTTACAGAGTACATCATTTGAAAAAATGTATGTTTTGGGGCCAGGGATTTAGCTCAGTGGTTCCGGCACCTGCCTTGCAAGCACAAGGTCCCGAGTTCGATCCCCAGTGCCAAAAAAAAATGTATGTATTAAAATGTTAAGTGCTAAGAGCAGAAGTCATGGTTACATATATTTTTTTCTTAAATTCTTTTATTGGTACATTTTAGGCGTACAATACATTTACATTCATCATTGGGAACTTGTACCTTTATATGATGTATCTTGGTTCTTATTTTTTCCCCATTTCCTGCCTTCCCTTCAACCCCTCCACCTCTCCCTATTTGCAAAGGCTTTCTTTCCATTTTTTCCTTCTCTAGCATTTTTGCCTTTCCCTTCTTTCCTTTCCCCTACCCCTCCCACTTCCCCTACCCCTTTGGACCTTTTCTTCCTATTTCACATTATCAACTATTCATTTTAATCCTTATTTACACTTTTCAGTTGCTCATACCAGAGAAACTATTCAGTATTTACATGTGTGTCTTATTTATTTCACTTAAGAGTATTGCCTCAATATGCATCCATTTAGCTATAAATGTCTCTAGTTTCTCGTTCTTTATGACTGAGTAATACTCCATTTTATTTAAAAAACCACATCTTCTTTATTCAGTTTTCAGTTGATGGGCACTTGGGCTATTTCCAAGCTTTAGCCATTGGAAACTCTGTCACTATAAACATGGGTGCACATATATCGCTGTGGTATGATTCTTTTAATTCTTTTGGGAAGATACCCAGCAGAGGAATAGCTGGGTCAAATGGGATCTCCAGTTCTAGTTCTTTGAGGTATCTCCATACTGATTTCCACAGTTGTTGCACCAGTCTGCACTCCCACCAACAATGAAGAAGGATTCTTTCTCCCCACTACCCCGCCAACATTTGTTATTGGTTGATTTCTTGATAGCAGCCATTCTTTGTGGGGTGAGGTGGAATCTCAGCATTGTTTTCATCTGCAGCTCTCGAATGACCAATGAGGTTGAACATTTTTTCATATGTTTATTTGCTATTTCTACTTCTTTGTCTAAGAAATGTCTGTTCATTTCAGATGCCCATTTTTGGATTGGGTCTTTAAATTTGGGAGGTCTTTTTTTTAAGTTCTTTATAGATTTGAGATAGTAAACCTTTATCTGAGGGACAGCTGATAAGAACTTTTTTTTCCCCACATTGTAGGTTGTCTCTTAGCTCTGTTGGTGGTTTCTCTTGCAGTGCAGAAGCTTTTTAATAAGATGAGATCCTGGTTGTTGATTCTTTGTGCTCGTTCCCATGCTACTGAGGATTTGTTCATAAAGTCCCTTCCTATGCCAATGTCTTCAAGAGTTCTACCTAACTTACCTTCCAGCAAGTTTACTGTTTCTGTCTTAATATTTAGATCTTTAATCCACTTCGATTTTATGGTTACATATTTGGTATAACTAAAACTATGTTTTAAAAAACTGTTTATAGGGCCAGGGATTTAGTTCAGTGGTTCTGCCGCCTGCCTCTCAAGTGCAAGGACCCAAGTTTGATCCCCAGTACCAGTACTCCAAAAAAAAAAAAAACCTGTTTATACAAAAAAGTTAACAAGCAGCAACATGTTAATAGATTATCTTTGGTTGGAATGACAAATGGTGCTAAGACAGAAGCATCTCCAAGTTCCTACAGGCTCACAAGGCAGGGTACAAGCCTAGAGGTTCTGAAAAGATTTCCCAGAGCACAAGTCCAAAGGAGTGAGTAAAAATTGACCCAGGGAAGATGAGTACGGTGAATATTCTAGGTTGAGAATATGGTAAATAGAAAAACAGGGGCTTGTAAAGCATCCTTACCCTTTGGTTTCTCAAGATTCCTCTGCTGTCTCTCTCTCCAGGAAGGATGCTATCATTGTGGTTGGTATAGCTAACATGGATCCCAGAAAGAATGCTTACATAGAGTACCCTGTCCGCACCATCATCATCCCTGAGGACTTCAATAACTACTCCATGAACAATAACGTAGCCCTCCTGAGGACAGACTCGGAAATGCATTTCAATGATTTGGTTCACCCCATCTGCTTCCTGGGGAAAGAGCTGCCTATGCTCCCAGCCTTGCAGAATTGCTGGGTGTCAGGATGGAATCCCACATCTGCAGTTAATGCAATCCTTCTCCTATAGGAGGCTATGTGTGTGCTGACAGTGGGGGTGACTTGGATGAACTGTTCTAGGGCTTATCTTAGTTCAGATTGCCCAAGGTTCTGGAGTTGGGCTGGAACTTTCCATAATCAGTGGAGATTCCCTGTGCTTGTCCTTTCTGAAGCCTTCCCTACATTACATTACACTGGTTCTTTGTCTTCTATCCCTGTCCTCAAACTGAAGTACACAGGCAGCAGATTGCCTGGAATGTATATTAGGTGAACCAGAGCTGGTTGTCCTCTATTCTAAATCATTCCTATTTTCTGTCATTCTCCAGAAAGAAAGAAACGAGGACATGGATATTCTTTAGATGTGGAGGAAGGGTGCAATGTTCTCTTTCTGTTTACACATTTAAGTTCCAAGCAAAGCTAGTTTTCAATATAAACTCAGACATAGGTTCTGAATTCTATGAAGAAAAGAAATTTATAGGAACATTTTTCTACTTCCATTTGGATATGTGAGTTGCAGTTACATTGACTTATGGGGCTGCCTTCTTGTTAATAATTCTTGGGCTCTCTGTTGCATGGTCCAGACAGGAAATCACATGACAATGAGTATCCTGAGGAGAATCTCTGAGAAAGACCTTCACCTGTGTCCCCTACACAAACCCCAGAAAACAGGATGTGGCAGTCACACAGAACGGGAAACTGATGCTGTCTGCTTGGTAAGAACATGATAAATTAGAAGCTAAATCCTGATAGTGACCATTGGTTATGTCAAGGGGGTCTTGGACCCCATGAGGGCAGGGACTATGATTTGGGATTCATAGATGTCTCTGAGGGAGTTACTTGGCACATAGCAAGTGTTCAGTAAAAATGTGCTGAATGGACTAACCAGTTACTGTTTTCTGTGTAATATGATTAAGCATATCTAGTCTATGCCATCCAGCTGAACATGCCTGATCTCATCTGATTAAGCATATCTAAATTACAGATTATTGATTGATGGTCCAGAAGATTGAACCCAGGGCCAATACACTGAGATACACATGCCATGGTTATTTTTCACTTTTATTTTGAGACAGGGTCTTAATTGCCCACACTGGGTTTGAACTTGCAATCCCCCTGCCTCAGCCTCCCAGAATGCTGGGATTACAGTTGTGTGCCACAATGCTGGTGCACAATGTTCTTTAACAAGTTAAAAATGTGAGTCCAAACTCTACATGCAAATGTATGTCAATCAGGTCTATGGTGTGGAATCTCTGTGTCTAGCATCCTCTGATGCTACTGTTTATCAGATACTGGGGTTTTCTTCTGTATGAAGCCCTGCTATACAGATATGGTTGTCCTACTGTCTCATGATAGTGTGTAGAACCCACAGACACTTTTTCAGGCCCCACTGGTGTTCAAACTCAGAGACAACCCCAGCCCGGTGTGTGCTCCTGGGAACTCTGACTCTCCCCTGCTCCCTGACCATCCCTCTGGGACTGCAGGAGGGAGGGAGCAGCTTAGATGGAAGAATGGAAGCAAGATAGATAGGAAAGGGGGAAAATGAAAGCATTCCAAGCCAGGAAGGAAAGAAATATTGACCTTCGAAAGATAAGCCAAAAGACAGGGGTGATTCTTGTTGAAGTACTAGAAAGAGGCAAGAAAATGAAATATGAAGGAGGAAGCTATAGGAAATCTTCAGTTTCCCACAAAATAATAAAACTAAAAGTTACCATGTTGGAATTTGTAGTCATAGTTGTCTAGATTTGAAATAGTAAGCTATAATTTACCCTATTTCCAGGAAGAACCAGAATAAGATGTTTCTAGAACATACAGTAAATTGCACAAGGATCTATTAAGAAAGAAAACAAGTCCTTTTCTGAGGCTTGAGGTCTTCTGTCCTTTGTCACAGGGGGAGCCAGGCAGCCCCATGATGTGCCAGCTGTAGCATTTGGATCTGTGGGTCCTGAGAGGAATCCTGACCCACGGTGGTGAGAAATGCCCTGGCCTATACCAAGGTATACCAAGGTGGAAGACTGCAGTGACTGGATCACATCCAAGGCCAGGGGGGCTGGCCCTCCCCTGTCTTCACTCCACCCCAGGGAGAAGTTGGTCCATTTCTCCTACCACAGATTACCTGCTGTGACACAGAATGCATATTCTGAACAGGGCCCTGTTAGATGGCCCAAATCCTACTTCCAAGAACAAAGAAATTCCGCTCTGCATTTACAGCATGCAAACAGCTCTAGCTCTAGTCATGGTCCAGACCTTAGGGTAAAGCATCTGCGGAAACCAGACAGTTCTGCAGAGGTGGCTGTTCAACCCATGTACTACAACTACTATGGTGGGGGGCGGGGGGAAGATGCCTTTTGCAGATCAGGACAGGGTGCAGCTCCAAGAAATCATCTTGGTTTTCTTGATGCTTGTTTTCTTTGGTGGCAGTGTGTAGATCTAGGAGCAAACCCACCAAATGGAAGAGGAAACTCAGAATGCTGAGTGTCAGGCATTCACTGTGCTGTTGTGGTGTCTGGTTTTGACAGTTGCATGCCTGGGCTGCCACAAATAGATCCACAGCCTGCACTGGCCTGGCTCTCCCTCCCGTCCCACTCCCACATGTGAGAAAGTCACTTTCATTTGTGCTTGTGATCTCAATGTGGGGAACAAGTGTCAAACCATTATAGTGACCTGTGGTTCTTTCATTGGTGTTAATGGCTCCAGGCTAGACTGTGAAGACGTCCCCAGGAGCAGATATGGCTGGAAAGATGACAATCAGCATGGCTGGGGAGTGGGGGACACCAGCCAGCACAAGGAATGGTGAGAGGACCCCATGATTAAAAAGAGTTGAATGATTTAATGGATCACTTTTTGTCTGCAAGCTGTGACTGACCCCTGGTTATTTCCCAGAGGTGAAATCTGCCTGCAACTGCTCATTGGTTGTTTTCATTCTATTCCAAACCTTGCGGTAGCCTTTTAAGGACATCTGCAAAAATGAAAGAGGGAGAGGGGAGAGAGGTCACTTAGTGTGTCCATTCTAAATGCAACCTTTGTCCAGCCCTGCTGATGGTACAGGTGACTTTGTGGGAAATAGTGCCCTAACCTGCACTTGCTGAGCAAGGGCCACCAGGGCCGCACCTGCCAGTGAGACTCTTCTAAAGAATGTGTTTCTGTTCCGTAAAGAAAAAAAGTGCAGGGTTTTGCTGCAATTCTGCTCCACTTCTCAGTTCTAGATTAACAGGCCCATGTTTGACCTCTAGCTTACTCCCTGCCATCAAGTGACCACAGCAAAGGGAGAAAGAAACATGGAAAATGGAGCCAGGACCTAGATGTGAAATACCAACCCCATTTCCCAAGCAGCCTAACTGGGTTTTTGTTTTTGTTTTTGTTTTTTGTCATTGTTGTTGATGTTGAAGTATGAGCATTGAACCTGGGGCTTCACACATGTTAGGCACAAGCTCTACCACTAGGCTACATCCTGGCTCACTTTGCTTTTTAATTTATTTTGAGACAGAACCTTACTGTAAGTCACTAAGTTGCTAAGGCTGGTCTTGAACTTGCTGCCCTCCTGTCTCAGCCTCCCAAGTAGCTGGGATTACAGGCAGATGCCACTGCATCCAGCTCTCTAACTGGATTTTAAGCTACACTATGATGCCTTTTATGGACCTCAGTTTGCAACCTGACTATGGCAGTCTTGGTGTACTACTTATTTCTGAAACAAGCATGTTGTTTTCATGCTGCCCATTTCTCTTCTGCAGCTCACAAGGAACCAGGGTGTTCTCTGTGTGTTCTGCACCATACTCAAAGGCTGTGGAATTCGTCAACTCAAAGACCCACAGCAATTATGTAAACACTTGGACATGGATTCTAAATGATATTTAAAATCCATTATTTTTTTATTGAAAAAGCTGACTTTTTCATGTATGCAGTAGCAATCACTAAATTAACCATGGTGTGGAAAGATTCAGAAGTTTCTAGAATTCATTAACAAGCAATTAAAAACACAGTATTACTAGAGTATCTTCCTGATACTTCAAAAGACTGTGTCCCTAGCAAGGAAAGTTTTTGAAAAATCATCCTTCATTTTGGTTTAATAGTTAAAGCAATTGCTGAAATTTCTCACAGACATGCTATGTCCAAACATCTCTATAATATTAGCCAAAAAATAAAATTCTAAACAAAAAAGTGATGGCATAGAAGACTGGCCAATCCTATCAACAAGGTTGTGTCAACAAGACTCAGTCTTGTCTTGGGGTCTCTGGAACTCACCTCTGCAATCTCCACTTTCCTCTCCCACATCTTGATGGTCTTCTCCAGGTCGCCGTTTAAGATCTTCTCCCGGACATACATCATCACTGGCGGCACCCGGAACTCGGCCATCTGCTTGTGCAACTTCTTGTTCAAAGCCTCTGCTTTGGCCCGGTCCTGGGTTGGAAAGGAAAGATTACCCCAGGGAACCTTAACGGCTTCTGCTTTGAGGACCTGCTGGCCCTACTCTTTCTCCCCACAGTATCAGTGAAGTTCTAAAAATAATGGTTAAATTTGAGAAGGGTAGGGAAATCACAAGATTCTTTTTTTTTTTTTTAAACAGATTGTGATATTTTAATCTAGCTCAGAACTTTCCCTTCCCTTGTCTCTGTTTTCTTCCTTTCTCTTACCACATTTCTTATTTCCTTTCTTTCTTTCTCTCCTTTTTTTAAGGAATATACTTATTTTGATTTCTCAAGTTTTTTGTGTGTGAAAAATTGTATTTAATTATATTTTGAGTTCATCAGCCTCAATTCACTTTCCTGTTATAAAATACATATAAGAATACTTGCTACTTTATGCATACAGTTCACTAGCATTAATTATATTCACATTGCTGTGCAACCATCACCACCATCTGTCTCCAGAACTGTTGTATCTTCCCGAAGTGAGACTCTGACCTCTTTAACAATAACTCCCCATTTTCTCCTCTCCAAAGCTTCTGGTTACCACTATTCTTTCTGACTCTATGAATTGACTCTTGTAGGTATCTCATGTAAGTGAAATTGTACTGGATCTGTCCTTTTGTGACTGACTTATTTCACTTAGAAAAATGTCGTCAAGGTTTACCCATGGTATGTATCATGTGTTCCCTTTTAAGGCATATGTGTTGTGTGTACATACCACATTTTATTCCTCTATTTATCCATGATGAACACTGGGTTTCTTTCATCTCTTGGCTAATGTGAATAATCCTACTATAAATATGGGCATACAAAAAAATCTATTCAGGTTTCTGCTTTCAATTCTTTTGGTCATTACCCAAAAGAATTACTAGAACCTTAGGTTAATTCAATTTATTTATGAATCTCTCTTTTTAATTTTTATTTTAAAAATTATCACAGTAAAATTAGTCCTTTTAATTGAGTAGACTTTTAAAAATTAGCATTATCCTTTTAATTTTTATTTTACCAATTGCTTTGGGTAGGCAATACATTTGAAAAATAACGTGTTTAGGCCAGCGTGGTGGTGCATGCCTGCAATCCCAGAACACTGTGACACTGAGGCAGGAAGATTGTTTTTAGTAACTTAGTGAGACACTCAAAAAAGTTTGTTAAAAAAGGAGGCTAGGGATGTGGCTCAGTGCAAAGGCCTTGAGTCTAATTGCCAAAACCACAAAACAAACAAAAAAAATGTCCAAACATCTGTATTTTTAGTCCAAAAAGCAAAATTCTAAATGAAAATGTTGAGGGCATGCAACACTGAGTCAAGATGCAATCTCATCTTGCGATTCTCAATGTACTATAAAGTTCATGGTGACAAACTCCCATTATCACTCATGAAAGTCCCCTTCCCAGAAGCATGTACTACTTTTAGGTTTTGTATAGCCTTCCAGAGGTTCATGTCAATAAAACATATATTACTCTTTTTTTTCTATTTTTATTTTTTATTTTAAGAAATACAAGTTGGGGCTGGGGATTTAGCAGTGGTTCTGCCGCCTGCCTTGCAAGTGCAATGTCCTGAGTTCAATCCCCGGTACCCAAAAAGAAAGAAAGAAATACAAGTTGATATTAATAAAGAAAATATAAAAATACTCTTCAATAAAAATTTTAAAATTTCACAACAAAAGAGAATAACAATGGTTAAAATATTGTATATCATGATCTTGAAAGAACAGCCAAAAATGTTACTCATAGTACAAGTCAGATGAATTTCACTTTTAGCTTTTTTCACTCAAATTTTTTTTTTTTTTTTTTTTTGGTACCAGGGATCAAACTCAGGTCCTTCCGCTTGCGAGGCAGGCAGCGGAACCACTGAGCTAAATCCCCAGCTTTCACTCAAATCTTGAAGCTTCCTCTGTATCAATACATGATTTATGCATTATTTTTGACAGCTGCATGATTTTCCATGGGTGTGCATCATAATTTAAGAAGTCCCCTATGAAGTCATAGCTTTTCCTCGCTTGCTAGTATAACAAATAATGCTGCAATTACTAATCTTTTTAGTATAACTCACATTGTAAATATGCAAGTTTATCGGTAGGACCAACTACTTAAGAGTGAAATTGCTTGTTCTAGTGGTTCTCACCAGAAGTGATTTTGCCCCCAGGGGATATTTGGCAATGTCTGAAGACATTTTTGTCATAGCTAGGGAGATACTTCTAGCATTTGGTAAAGCCAGGGATGCTATTAAACCCCTGTACTACACCAGACAGCCCCTCCAAAAGAAAGAATTATCCAGCCCAAAATGTGAGTAGCTCCTCAGTTGAGTAACCTTGCCCTAGCATATGTGCATGTCCATGTTTGCTAATTAGTGCTAAATTGCCCTCCATAATAATCAAGTAATTTAGTTTTTTACAGCAATGTTTGAGACTTTCCCCCTATTCGCTCATTAAATTCTTATCAACTCTTGGGCCAGGGATTTAGCTCAGCGGTTTCGCCCCCTGCTGCACAAGCGCAAGGATCACAGTTTGATCCCCGGTACCAAAAAAAAAAAATTCTTATCAACTCTAATCTTTGTTAGAAAATAATATCCCATTATAGCTTCATTTTGTATCCTTCACCTTATGGGTGAGGTAGAATATTTTTATACATTTGAGAGGTTTTAGCTTTCCTGAACATTGTTTAAAACCTCATTTTTTCTATTAGTTCATTTGCTCATTAATTTGTAAACTTTAAAAAAGATAATTCATTCCTTGTAATTGGATATGGTGGTCCACACCTATAATTCTAGCTACTTGGGAGCCTGGGGCAAGAAGAGCAAAAGTTAAAGGCCAACCTAGGAAATTTAGCAAGACCCTGTCTCAAAATAAAATTTTCTAAAAGGCTGTGGATGTAGTTCAGTGGTAGAGCATTTACCTAGCATTTGTGAGGCCCTAGATTCAATCCCAGCACCCCCACATACATACACACACTAGTTCTTGTGGTGTTAGATATATTTATCTTTAAACTTTGCTTATAGATTTTGCTTTTAACTTTGTTATTTGTCTTTACCTTTGTTTATAGTTTTTGATTTAAAGAAAATTCTTCATATTTATATAACTGACTTTATTGATTTCATGCTTTCTAGTTTTATATTTTGAAAGGCTTCTTCATTCCAACATTATAATAAAATCTTCCCATTATTTTTTAGGACATCAATAGTTTTATCATTTATATTTAAATCTCTG